CGGGGAGCGGCACCCGGCCGGGGGCGGGGTGGGGGCGCTCGCCGTCCGGGCTGGGAACCAGCCCTGCTTCAGGATGCATCTGAGCTGTCAGCTCGCGAGCAGTCTGAGTAGATGGTCTCATTTACTTGCTTCAATATGTTGGTTTGAAATGTGACAAATTCTCTTTCCTTTTTGAACGCTTCTGAGATGTTCATACATTTCAAAATCAAAAATAGCCAGAAATCCACAAAATGTCTGTCCAGATTTTCCTGGCCGATGCCATCGAACCAGCAGATTTGCTCTCCCGCGGTGACTGAGCGTGAGCGGCCCCGAGCTTAGTTCGCGCTTGGGCTCCAGGGTGCTGGCGTGACCGCTGTGTCAGCGCGTGGCACTGTGCGAGGCGCGTGCCCTGACCGATGACCTTCAGGCCGCCTCCTGCGGCTCTTTGTCAGTGACGCCCACCCTCAGCGTGCACGTCGCGGCCGGTGCTGCCCGGCCTGCTGGTGTGGATGTGCGGGCAGGGCTCCCGCATGGCCAGCAGGGGCCTCGGCGGGGAAAGCTGACAGGTGCCCGCCCTTCGCTGGCACCAGGGGCACCTGCCTGCGAGAGTCTTTAAACCCTGTGGCTTTCCCGCAGCGTCTGCGAAGAGCGAGGGGAAGGGGAGCCTGGGGACAGGGGACGCCGGTGACGCTGCCCAGGGCGCCCGCTCCTCGCCACGCGCTCCCATGGCCCCCGCCCTGGCCCCCGGGGACACCTGACCTGCGACCCGTCAGACCTGAGCTCCGTCTGGGGTGCTCGTTTCCCGGGGGGGGGGGCCGTCGCCGCTGCTTCACTTGCATGAGGATCGCGGCACCCACCTGGCGGCCTGACGAGACCCAGCGTCATTCCTGGCCCCGGCTGTGGGGTGCAGACACAGCAGTCACCCCACATGCAGCACGGACCCGGCGCTCTCCTCGGCTGCTCCCCAGGGCAGCGGTGCGGTGCTCCCCAGGGGTGCTCCCTAGTCGCGGCCCGGGCTGGTGCGTGGCGGCGAACACCTGGTTGACCTGCACGGTTTGGGGGGAAGAAATGCTAAATAACTTGGTTTCAAGAACAAGGCCCAAGGCCGGGGGGAACCCAAAAAACCCAAAAAACCCCCCGGAAACCGGGAACCAAAACCGGAACGCCTCGGGGGGCCAAAACCCCCGGAACCAAAAAACAACCCAACCCGCCCAACCCCGGCCCCCCGGCCCCAGGCCTTGCTCCCCTTTCTCCGGCCGTGAACTTGGCCTGGCGGTGGGCTCCGCAGCCCGGCCCGTCGTCACACCCAGGCAGGCAGCCTCCCGCCGTCCCCTGCGCGCCAGCGAGGCAAGGCAGGCTGGCTGCCGTCCAGCCCCGGCCCCAGCCTGGGTGATTTGAGGGTGGGGGGCGCCCCGTCTCTCCAGACAGGAGGAGCGGGGCCTCCCGGGGAAGCACTCTCGGGGCGGCCGGGAGCCTGCACCCGCAGGGTTGCGGAGGAACTGCCGGCCTCACAGGCCCTGTGTTCACGCCTTTTCCTCTCAAGTTTGGTCTTGACCGGCCTGCCCAGCGCGGGCGGGCGCTCCCCTGCGCCACGAGGCCGCGGCTTCCCCCTGGCTTTCCTCCTACCCCACCCCCATCTTGGTCTCAGCCGTCTGGCCCGAATGTCCATAGTCTTGTCTCAAGGAAAGATGGCCAGGAGCAGAGCCGGGACACGCAGGCGAGGGCAGGCGGCCGCCACACCGAGACGCGCCGCACTTTGCGGTCCGCTCCTGCACCTTGGCCCCGTGTGCCGAGACCCTTGGGCCCGAGGGTCTGTCTCCACCGGGCTGGCGGGCGGGCGAATGGCCTGCCGCCTCTACTCCAGATGGCCGGTGCCCGGCTGGCGCCCGGCCGGCGCCTCCATGCTCGGTGCCCGCCGCTGAGCGTGGGCCAGCCTGGAGCTCGACCTCGGCAGCTGACAGAGATTTGGTCTTTTCCCTGTTTCCACCTCTGCCGCTTCCCACGCGAGGCTCGGCAGAGGCGAGAGCCGTCTGAGCCAGCCCCCGGTCACCGACAGGGGCAGCCGCTCTGACCGGGGGGCCCCGTGTGTGGCGGCACCGCGACCCCCTCGCCTCCCACAGGCAACCTGCGCTGCCAGACTGGAGTAGGGAGCGGGTCTCCGGCAAGGGCGTGACGGCAAGTAGGCCAGCTCACGAAGGCCGCGCCCTCGGCCTCAGCACTGCCCACATCGGGCCCTAGGGAGGTGGCCAGCCCTGCCGGCCGAGGCCGGCGTGCCTGTGGGACGCTGGGGGGTCCGGTACACCTTCCCCGGGCGCCTTGGAGTGTCCGCGGGCTGCCTGTTCTCTCCGAAGCAATTAGTGAGGATCGAGGGTTGCTCAGCGTGCGTGGTCCGTGACCCTGTGGGGAGGGACAGAGTGACCGGTCGTGCCCTTCCTTAAGGGGGGTCCCTAACAGGAAGCTGAACCGTGCTGGCTTGAGGGGATAAAGAGACAGCGGTTGGTGAGGGCGGCCGTCCTGGCGGTCCCACGCAGAACACCCCACGGGCGCTTGAGCGGCGGCCGGGCCCTGGCCGCGCCTGGCGAGAAGACCGGCCGGCCCCAGGGAGGCCACTTGCCCCAGCGCAGAGGCTTCCGGTTAATTCGGAGCAGCCTCTTACGCTGCTTTTATCAGCTCTACTTGGTGCGCTCCGTATTAATTGCTGCTGATAGCAGGTATTTGAACACATCTCCTCTTTCATCTCAAGAAAATATTAGCATATCGCAGAGCTGTTGGGACAGATTGTATCTGAGGCATTTTTTCCTCCCCACAGAAAAGCCCATCAATCATAGCTGAATATAGTGATGACTAATGTCACAGCTCTGCTCCACGTGTGTCTGCACAGCGGGATGAAGAGCCGAGCTTACACTTCGATCGGGAGCAATGCGCGTCACAAAATAATCAGTTGCCGTTTTATAAAAAATGCCGCTGGAAACACTCCTAGCCCAGCACCTATTTTTGGTTACTCTGTTGTTAATTCACTGAAGGCTTCACCGGAAACTCCAAAAAGGCTCCATTCTACCGTCGTTTGTCATGATTTCCGGCCAAGTTGGCATCTTCGTGATGCCACGGCCCTGACGCGCGGCGCGGGGCCCGGCCAGCCCCGTGAGGGCAGGCGGGGCGCGGCCTCAGCTGTGGCCTGGGCACCGTCCTGCCCAGTCTGTGGAGGCTCGAGAACAGAGAGAAGCAAACTCAGCTGGGCGTTGCTCAGCAAAGTGGACGGGGTGGGGGGCAGCCAGGCGGAGGGCGCAGGTCGCCGCACTTCGGGGAGCAACTCTGTGGTCACCATGTTCACAAGGACGTGAAGCAGTGGCGCTTCCCCAGCAAAGGTAATTAAAGAGGTGAAAACCACGCCGGGCATTTGCGTCCGGAGACGGCCCTGCGAGCGTTCGCCGGGGCAGTTCAGGGACGGGGAGCGTGTGGCCACCTGCGGGCAGCGCAAGAGGGCGGCCTGCTGAGGCCCAGAGCTCCGCTCCTCTGGGGCCCCCGGCTGCCCCGTCCACAAGCGGAGTGGCACCTCTGACTGTCTCGCCGCCGCCCAGGGAGCCCCCACCCCGACAGCCCGCTCTGGGAAGCAGCGCCTCCGTTCACCGCGAGTGTCCCGGCACAGGGGCCCTAGCGCACCCTGAACCCCGCCTCCACCTCTGCCCCCACTGCCTCCCTGTGTCTGCCTTTCCGGCCTGCAGCCCTGCCCCGCCTGCCCCCTGACGCCCAGCGTGGCCTGTTGAGGCGAGGGGCTCCCACCGGACCCCCGCGGCGAGGACGCCCCCACGCCCGCCCTCCGGCCCGAGACTGGCGGGGGCTCAGCGCACCACACTTCTCCAGGGAGAGGTGCGATGTGCATTTCTCCTTGACACTTCAGCGGCTGAGGTCGCTTCTGTGGCCGGAATATCCCTTCACGTTCTCTGCTGTGACTTCAGTGCCTTGAACGCATCCTGGTATGAACTCGGGCTGTTTCCTGGATGAACTAACTCGGTGCTGTCGGGGAAGTGGGGTGCGGTTGGAACAGCCCGGAGCAGCTCGTGAGGAAGACGAGGTTGGGCTGGGCCAGGGTGGCAGCGGCTGAGGTGTTGGGATGCACCGGGGGGCGGGCCGCGGGGCCGGGGCCGGGGCGCGCAGAGCCGCCTGCCGGAGAGCTGTGTTCCTCTAGTGGGCTGGGGTAGGTCCACCTTGACAGGGCTGGAGGACTTTGAAGGAGGGGGTTGCAAGGGGGGCCAGCCGTGACGCCCTCGGGTCTCTGGTGCGGCCTCACGAGGGCAGAGGCGGCCTCTGGGGGGTGGCCGCGGGCAGCGCCGTGGGCGCGAGTGCTGACTTCACTTTGTCGTCGGGTCGGGAGCACTTGTCTCTCGTCGCCGCCTGCGTTTGAGCGCCTCTCCTGGCCTGTCGCTCTGTCCTGTGAGCAAGCGGGGGTCGGGGACGGGGTGCAGCGGCGGCGTGGCGTTCCCGTGCTGTGAGCACCGCCTGGCGAGAGAGCCAGGAGAGACCGGGGGTGCAGAGCACCTTTAGAGCCCTGTTGGGACCTGGGGCCACTGTCTGAGTTCTGCCAAAAGCCCAGCGAGTAGCTGGTTCCTTACTGCAGATCTTTAAACCATTTGTTCTGGAAAGCATTGCAGAAACGAGAATCAGAGGCGGGGAGAGGTTTGCGTGGCCTGGGGCGCGTTTCCTTTCTCCTCTTGGCCACCAGGGAGCCCACAGCTGGATTTTTGGATTTCCGCTCCACCCCAGCCGCTCCGACGTCGAGGTGGCTTTAGTTCTGTCTCCTGGTTCCCTTCGCCCTGTTTTTGCAGACTTCATCTAGATTCCTTTGTACGTGAGCTTGTTCCGTTTACCGGGGTTCGCCTGCGATGCGCACGTCACACACAGCCCTTGCGGGCGGCCCGAGTCGGCGCGTGGAAGCCCGGGCGGCGCCGGGGGCCAGGCCTTTGTTAAAAGTGAGCAGTGCCGGCCTCTGCGCCTCCCACATGTCCCCGAACTGGAAGTTTGTGTTTATGAGTTTCTGAACGCAGTCTAATTTTTTCCTATCTGGTTTGGCTCATCTTTACCAGCTGGTAAATAGGAAATGTTCACGGTGGGATGCCAGTGCTCTGCAGCGCGTAGACAGATGGAATCGACATAAAGTGACAAGTTCGACTGTGCTATTGAGAATACGGAGCCAAAGCTAAGAACATAACTGCCGAGCTCCTCCCCCCGTTCCGGCCCATTTAGCCCTGAATAGCGCCTCATAGCTGCACAGCTGTGTTGCTCTCCCCCCTTTCTTCTGGGTTGATAATGACAATTTCAAAGAAAAACTTTAATTAAAGATTTTATACGAAATAGCCAAAAGTAGAATAATAAGGAAAATGAGCATTGATGTGTTTATTGTAAGAGACATCCTTGTTCATGGCTTCGCTCGGAGATTTTACTTCTCGGATTTGAAACGAATGTCGTGGTGGTGACAGGAAGGTGCCAGACGGACAGCCTGCGCGCCACCCGCGTCCTGCTGCAGAGCCAAGGCACGGGGCTGCTCGCAGCCCCTCCCCGGGGCTCGGCCTCGGGGGAGCCTGCCCCAGGCCCCCTTCTGCCAGAGGAGGCGAGAGAAGGCGGCCCCGGGTGAGGCACCCACAGAAGGCAGTAGCGGGGGGCCGGGCAGACGCAGCTGCCAGGCTCGCCGGGGCTTCCCCAGAGGGGAGTCGCCGCCTGGGCGGGGGGCGGGGGGCCTGGGCCTCCCTTAAAGCCTGGGTGGTCGAAGCTGTTTGGGCTCACAGTTTTCCTCCCTGGGGCCAAAGTGCCATAAAAAGCCTTGGAAACAAAGAGCCGGGTCCTAACCGCCCCCAGCCGGGCTGCAGGGCCGTGTGGGCGCAGTGGGGCGCCCCGATGAAGCAGTTGGGTCCCCCTTCTCGTCGTTCTCTGGCTGGCGCTCAGCAGCGCTGTCTGTCTCCCCTTCCGGGCAGGTCCCGTGGCTCTGGGTCCCTGAGGTGCCCGCGGAGCCTGGCCGGTGGGCACGCCGCCTCACCCTCCGCCCACGGGCGCTGCGCCTGCTGCCCCTGCCCGGGCCCGCGTGGGCGCGGCCGCGTGTGGCCGCTGCCTTTGCGCCCTGTGCCGCAGCATTCTCGAATGGGGTGTGTGCTGGGGACACCCCTCACTGTTCGAGGCGCACCAAGGGGAGTCCCTGGGATAGAGCTTTGTGCACCCCACGCTACTGTTCCCAGTAGGGGCCCAGCCCTGGGGCCGCCCCTCCGGCCCGCCCCTTCCGTCCCCACACCCCGGCCGCGGCCCCCGGACTCCCCGGGGTGCAGAGAAGCTGGCGTCAGCCCTGCTCGGTCTCCTCCTAACCCCGGAGCTCACACACGCCGCCCCGCCGAGCCCCTCCACCCTGCCGCCCGGTCCTGAGCCCCTCGCCCGCGAAGGTGCGGCCGGGGCCTGCCCCGCGGGGAGTCAGGAGCCTCCTGGTTTCCCAGAGCCAAGAGAAGTGGAGAACGTGACTGACGTCAGTGCTGACATCGCCCGCCTGTCCGCCCGTCCGTCCCCCCTTCGACCATCCCTCTCACGTCTGCCCATACCCCCCCGTCCGTCCGTTACCCATCCATCGGCCCACCCCCCGTCCGTCCATCCGTCCTCCTGTCCTCCACTCACCGGCTTGTCCATCTGCCCTCCGTCCGTCCACCTAGCCACACGTGCATCCATCTGCTCAACAAACGGTCACCCATCAGGCCCCGCCCTTGGCCACTGCCCTGAGGGCTCGTGCTAGGGCGGCTGGGGAGGGGGCTGTGAGGCCAGGAGGCCTCGGGGGAGGTGTGGCTGGGGGCAGCGCTGCCCTGCCTCTTAGCGCCCCGAAGCCATGTGCCCATTTACGCGCATTCAGGTAACTTTCACACCTCACAAAATGTCCTTTGGCTTCTCCCAGCCATTGTAACATGGAAACCCACTCTCGGCTCACAGGCGCAAACGCGGGGTGTGGCCTCGAGCCTCCTGCGCTCCGCGGGCCGTGGGGGACCTTGCAGGCGGGGGGCTGGGGTGGGGTGGGCCCGTCCTCAGGACCGCAGAGCCCCTTTGCCCCCAGGCGGCAGACAGCGTGTGCCAACTCACTGTGAGTGCCCGCTGTCCGCCCGCCCTCGCCGCCAGCTGGCCAGGTCCAGCAGCAGGAGAAACCCAGTGCCCCACAGGGCTGATGTCTCCGTGGAGGAGAAAGAGCAGCCGTGTGCGGAAGGGACCTGCAGCGGCCGGGTGTGGGTGGGCTTGGAGAAGGGGCGGGGAGCAGGTCAGAGGGGACCAGGGCGCTGCGCCCTCCAGGAGGCC